GCTCCGGGGCCGGGGTCGCTGCCGCGTCCCCCCACCTGGGCTCCCTCGCGCACCGCTCCTGCCCACTCTTTATACCTAGCTTTTGCAAAGCCTCTCATGGGGCTAGATGACACAGTTTAAGAAAACAGGTGTCATAGGGCTGCAGCGGGGCAGCTGTAGCAGGATGTGCCCGGGGACAAGGTGCAGGATTGCGTGCTTCTCCCCCTGCAACAGGAGCAAGCGGTTATGACCGTGCTGCTGCCGCTGTGAGAAAGGAGTCGGGAAACAGAAAGAGGGGGTGCCAGGATCAGTCCTGCTGGAAACTGAGCTATTTGGTGGCAGCTGCTCACCTGTGCTGAAAACATGTGGAAGAAAATAATAAGATAGTAACTTTCAGAAGCCTGGACATCACAGAGAGAAATATCATTTTATTAGGATGATGAACTAAGCGCTCTTTGTAGAAATGAACTGGAAGTCCTTGGGCAAGGGCTGTGTCCAAGATCTTTGTTAAATCCATTATTTTAAAGGGCCTGGTCCAATTATCATAATACCTGGTAAGGTTTAGGTCATCCTGGTAAAACTGAGCTTCAGGAAAATGTCTGCTTTAGAATTTTCGGTCTAAAGATACTGAAGAACTAACTAGGTAAAGAGCTGCAGAGCTAACAAACATTTTGCTCTGGTGTTTGGATATAGAGCTGTACTTTCTGTTGACTCCTACTTGCATCTCACCTGAGCACTCAGTCTAAAGGTCATTATTAATTTCAAAACTAATTAGTACTTTCAAATTGGATTTCTACTGATAAATAGATAAAACTCATTGTCTTGGAATTAGCACAAGTTCTCTTATACCTGTGTGAAGGATTCTTCAGGGAACAGCTCTACTGATTACCGTAATTTTTGGCATGAAATAAAACAGAGATTATTCCTGCATGCTGCACTAATACATACCACCTGGAGCGGTTGAGGGTTGAAGCCCTTTGTGACTTATAAAGAGCAACTGTCTGGCATACAAGGAAAAGTTGTTATACGGTAAGAAATTTGCAAACAAAAATACATATTCATGTATTTTTACGTTTTCCCTGATCTCCTCCTATGATTACAGTAAAATCCTGTGTGACAGAATCTGAATTTAAAAACCTATAATAAAAAGGCACTATAAGTATCTCATATCTTTCAACCACACTAATTCTAGTAAAAAGCAAGAATGCTAAAAACTTTAAGGATCCTTTGTACT